ATATATTTAAAAAAAAATTTTTGGTCCTGCACAAATGTATTCATCCTTTAAAAAATATTCACTGAGCACCAAGCCATGTAAGTAGAATGCAATTGAATCCTGTCAGCTGTGGTGTCATGGAAAGAAAGTTGTGCTTAAAATAATAAGCTCTGGGCTTTAGCCACCTCACTGAGCTTAAGTTTCTTCATCTTTAAAATGGAGATAATCACATATGTTTCCTTAATCTGTTTGAAAGGATTTCATAAGGGTGATTTATACTGAAGTATTTTTTTTAATCCTCACCAGAGGATATTTTTCCATTGATTTTTAGAAAGAGTGGGAGAGAGAGGGAAAGACAGAGAGAAATATTGATGTGAGAGAAACACATCGATTGGTTGCCACCTGCATTGCGCCTTGACCAGGGCCTGTGCCAGGGAGGAGACTGCAACTGAGGTACATGCCCTTGATTAGAATCGAACCCGAGACTCTGGTCCACAGGCTGATGCTCTACCCACTGAACCAAACCGGCTAGGGCTGAAGTATTTTTTAAATGTGCGACTATACAAATAAAGGTACATAATAATTATTAGATATAACATAGTTGGGTTAAAATATTGAAACATGCAAGAATAGATGAAAAAAAGCAATTCTTAATAATACCCAATTCCATTTTATAAAGTTATTAGACTAGTAGATCAGGGAAATGGCTTGCCTTTTGCTATCAGCAAAGCATTTTATAAAGTTTTAGTAATGTTCTTTACTAAATGGGCACCAAAACATTGGATAGAGTCATATTTTGGCTGAGCAACTGACTTTTAAGAGGATTGATAATTGAATGAATATGGACCCGGAGTGAGATCTTTATTTTGTCATTGATTTTGTCCTAGTAACATGTTGATTGAATTAAAATAGAAAATCCTTGATTAAAAGTTCCAAGTGGCATGCTTATAATGTCTATGGGTGTCACCAAGCTAAAATAAAGAACTGGTATACGAAGAGATAAAGATTCGGAATTATCTCAGTAGGTTGGAATGATGGGTAAGGAAGGTGTATGTAAAATGAAGAAGATAAGATTTGGCTGGGATATATGCCAACCCTATATTTAGTCTTAAAAAACAACCCAACAAACCTCTGCTGCAAAAGAGAAAAGGATTCTAGTTCATGTTAAAATGATCTCTGACTTATAAGTAATCATAAGCTTAATATGGACCATCAATATGGTGAAGGTCATAAAAAGACAAACAAGAAATATGTTGCAATTGCACATTAATTTTGTCACATGACCTAGAATAAGGAAGGGAGAGGGAGAGAGAAACATCAGAGAGAAATATTGATTGGCTGCCTCCTGCATGCCCCCTACTGGGGATCGAGTCCACAAGTGGGACATGTGCCCTGACCAGAAATCGAACTGGCAACCTTTTGGTGCATGGGAAAATGCTCAACCAACTGAGCCACCCTACCAGGGCCGAAACTGAGTTATTAACACCAAGATATTAAAGTATGTGGACTGCATATAGAATTCATTAACATAAGAGGTAAAATCAATTAAAAATACGAATAACCAGACACATATTAGAAAAATTACGGTTGTAGACCTAAAATGGGTTTTGAAGGAATAGATGGTTATTTGGGATTTTCCTAATTTCTTGGCATGGACGTTAGAGTCATAATGCCTTTTGCAAACTGTCCTTGGACGCTCATTGTAATGTGAATCTGCTCCAATGTGGTTGCTTTTGTGTGACTGGGGTTCTCTTCTAGAACAATCAATATTTTTGTGTCTGTGTGGTGTTTATGTACATGTATAATCAAAGCTAAAATCAGATTAAAAACACAACTACAAAAATTTTGGAATATTTATTATTTATTTTATTCCTTTTCTGGGTTCCTTACTACCTGATATTAAACCTGAAAGACACAGTACATCACATAACCTGTTTTAACTGAAAATAGCAACTGCATGGAAATATCCTTATCTGAGGAGGCCCTGGTGCCTGCCTTTCCTGGGACTATGCATCATGTGATGGCCTGAAAGTGTGCTTAAAGGAGGAGGAAACCAGTTACTCTGGGTCCGTGTCAGATGCTAACATTTTCCCCTCTCCTCCAATACCATCCTGCATTATGAAGTTGGCAGTCTGGGAACAACAACAACAAAGGCAGCAAATGCTTAAGGGTAACAAAAACATTGCTTAGTTCTAACATCTGGAGTTCATCACGGCAGCCCTGACGTCAGGACACAGCCCAGATGTTAACTATAGTAACCATCTAAAGTTTGGGTGAATGTGGTCTTTCCTTCAATTTGCCAAGTCCTTTTAGTGAAAATCCATGAAAACATAACAGCTTAAGAATATAAGTAGTCCACTAAATATTTGGGAGACCAGCTTTGGGATTACACAAATACACCAGCTAGTGCTCGGGTGGTCATCTCCTTGGAATGTTGTGGTCACCTACTTGGAAGTCTCACTCCCCCTCTTTAACCCCCCCCCCCCAAAGAATACATAAAAAAGTAAAAAGCCCTTGAAAAGAATAGCAAGAAGGGAAACTGTGAATGTAAAAATGAGAAGTAAGTAGTTCTGAGCCTAATCAACATGGGGATATAAGTCAGGACACTCCTCTTACCCATTCAAAGGCAGGCCTGCTGGAAGACTGCCTACATTTCTGTGTTTTATGTACATCCCTCCACATTTTCTAGGCAGTTGAAGAATAAGAGAAGACTTATTAGAATTCAGCTGGAGAAGAAAACGATGAACTATATCTTGAATTTCTTTCTACTTTTGATAACTATTTTATAAATTAATGTGTAATTGATGTCTTGTACAGCTCTCACAATCAAATAATTAAAAAGGCTATGCTACATGAGCTTATTTGGGGGATGATGATGAAAAGAAAATGTAACAAAATTTCATTAGTTAAATCCTAACCCACATGAACCCCCAATTGTCAAATATCATTGACATAAGAAAGACTAAACTACAGAAAAAAAAAGATATCTGGGAATATATATATATATATATATATATATATATATATATATATATCTTTTTGTGATTTCATATGATGGGGCAGTGACATGACTAAAAATCACTTGGCATTTAACAAAATATTTAGAATTCATTTAACAAATACATAGAAAGCAGAGTAGCTCTGGTAAAGGGCACAGACCGGGAGATGGATGGTCTAGAGCAGCCGTGAGCAAACTACGGCCCGCGGGCCAGATCCGGCCCGTTTGAAATGAATAAAACTAAAAAAAAAAGAGACCGTACCCTTTTATGTAATGATGTTTACTTTGAATTTATATTAGTTCACACAAACACTCCATCCATGCTTTTGTTCCGGCCCTCCGGTCCAGTTTAAGAACCCATTGTGGCCCTCGAGTCAAAAAGTTTGCCCACCCCTGGGACTCTAGAGTCAAGTCCTGACTCCCTTATATACCGTATAACCTCAGAAGAGTTACACCTGCTGGGATGAGGTTAAAACATCACTGTTAATTTAACTACTATAAAATGTATTTTTGTCAGAACTAGTGATGCATGTATGAAAAGCTTACAGCAGTACTGCTATATAATAGCTCAGTAAGTGACATTATTAATTATAATGAAGGCATAGATGACTCCTGTCCATCTTTGTATCCCAACTCTCAATGACTGGATAAGCACTCAGCAAATATTTCTGAATATATGAATGAGTGAAAGAGGAAATAGTAAATGAACAGTCTCAGAGGTTGAAACCACTTTTCTCCTTGTTTCCCGAACAGTTTTCTCCTTGTTTCCCGACCTGTGTGTGTGTGTGTGTGTGTGTGTGTGTGTGTGTGTGTGTGTGTGTGTGTTTTAATATATTTTTATTGGTTTCAGGGAGGAAAGGACAGGGAGAGAGAGATAGAAACATCAACGATGAGAGAGAATCCTTGATTGGCTGCCTCCTGCACGCCCCACACTGGGTATCAAGCCCGCAACCAAGGTACATGCCCCTGACTGGAATCAAACCTGGGACCCTTCAGTCCACAGGCTGACGCTCTATCCACAGAGCCAAACCAGCTAGGGCATCTCTGTGCTCTTTACCAGGATTCACAATATTCCCTCCTCTCTGCTACCTTACCTACTCTTGCCTGAAAATTTTAACCCATAATTTATTAACCCATGATCACTTTTCAGACACCTCCAGGTCTAGCTTCCTGGTAATGCCCACAGCACTGAACACTGATGTCATCTATGGTCATTTTTGCGGTGCATGCCAAGTACCTATAGGAAGTACTCAATTGATATTTGTTAAATGGAAGAATATCTTTCGTTGCTTAATGTGCATGTCTTGAGAGTAGAGCCCATTTCCTATCTATACATTTCCATTACAACCGGCAACCCAGCATATCTGTGTTTGAAGGACGTTTAGAGATAACGGAATTGAACCTCATCTCCACAGATGAACTCCACAGATGAAGAACATGAGGATTACTGACTTGCTCAAGTCTCTCACAGCTGGTTTAGTTCCAGAATATGGAATACAAATCAGACCTCTTCACTCATGGTTTTTGGTTAAATGGATGAAAAAAAATAGTCCTAATGGAGGTTTATAAGTGATCATATGTATTTATTACTATGTAACTCAAGCTTTCAAAATTCCTAAGGCCACAAACAAGGGTTTAGCCTAAATTACTGAAAGACCAATGGATCTTCTAATCACAGATTTTTAAACTAGCTTAACTCATTAAGAGGCAAGGACAGGCTCTGTAGAGATGGCCAGAAGTGACTTGCAATAAATAGTGACTCCTAGTAACACTGTTTAGTGTGTGATAGTCTTTAAACACGCTTTCCAGTCCCTGACCCTATTATTTGCAGTCTGTGCTGTCTTGTTTGTATTGGGAGATATGATCAGGGGCCAAGTTCCACCCTATACTATAGCACTGCAATCGGGATGTTGCAAAACAGTTGTCTTGTATCACAAAACTAAGATGAATTTTCTCTGAGGAGAACTTTCTCTCTAATCCTGTTACGTAGTTCCCAGGACCACATATGCTTACCTTAAAAAAAAAGGCAAAAAGTCTTGCCCTGGCCAATGGATAGAGCGTCGGCCTGCAGACTGAAGGGTCCCGGGTTTGATTCCGGTCAAGGGCATGTACCTTGGTTGTGGGCACATCCCCAGTTGGGGGTGTGGAGGAGGCGGCTGATCGATGTTTCTCTCTCATCGATGTTTCTGGCTCTCTATCCCTCTCCCTTCCTCTCTGTAAAAAATCAATAAAATGTATTAAAAAAAAAGTCTGACATGCCCATCAAGCCAGTGAACAGCTATAAAGCTCTGGTGGGATGACCGTATGTGATATAATCTACTTTATATGTTTTAGTCATCACATGGATGTCTGCTCTAGTTAAAATGCAGATATTGTTTCCTGATAAAATATTGAAAAGTTTGCTGCATTCAGCATTAAAAAATTATTTTGTGGACTATCCTGATTATATCAAAAACGTTAACTGCATACAGGATATGATGCAGACTTTGTTTATGTCAGCTACAGGGGAAGAAAAAAAAAAGAGGACTAGAAGCTGTGGGAGTGCTGTATGCTGAAGGTAGAATGCACTCCTAATCCTAACCAGCTGTCCTTCCTTGAATGCAGGGGGACGTAATAGCAGTCGCTCTCTCTTCTCACGTGTTCAGTGAGCCGCAAGCTCTGGGTGCGTTTTTACCAAAACAAGGGCAGAGCCGTCTCCTAGCTACACCAGTGTCTCAGAAAATACAAGAGGGAAATACCCAAAAGTCAACTTGAAATAAAATATATACAAGCACCAACAACACATTTCTCCAAGCCTGTTAAATGTCAGGGAGCCACAGTTAAGTAATTACTTAAACACAACAAGTTCCAATTCACTTACACCACTTCAGAGTGGCTACTACCTCAACGTGAATCACCCGGCAAATCACAAGGGCAAGCTGATGGACACACAACATTCCAGTACCTGCACAGAAAGAGCCTCCAAACGCTTCAGATCTTTCAGCTCCTCCTCCTTCACTTTCTTCAGGGGCAAAGTGTAAACCCTTGACTTCACAAAGAAAACTTTAGTCTGACTTTCTTGAAGTAACAGGTCAAGAAAATACAGAAAAGCATGAGAAAGAAATAACATTCTCACTTTTGTGTTTACAAAAATACGCTATGGAAAAGCATGGAGACAGGAGGGGATTTTTGTTAGTTTCTAAAAGGGGGGACCCATATCTGTCCCCCCTAATTGATCATCTGCTTCTTGATTTTTGCTTCAGTCCTATAAGGTTATAGGGACATCATGGATTTTCATTCAGGAGAATTGAGTTCACATCCGCATTTAAAGTCTTACTAGTTTTGTGATTGTTGACAAGTTACTTAACATTTTCAGTTGTGTTTTCTCATTTGTCAATGGGAAAATGACACCTGCCTTAAATGGTTGTTTCAGCACTCAAGGAGATGTAATGTATTAGGTCCTCAATGAAAATTAGTTTCTATCTCTTCTGATATTTCATTTCATATTTGTCCAGGGTCCTGCCACTTCTCATATGGGCAGGAGACAGTCCATAGCTAGGTTTTAAAATATTCAATTTCATTTTGCAACTAAAGAATAATGAGAAAATAAAAAGATTAAAATTATAATTACAAAATGTCCACTCAATCACTCCAGTAGTACTTGGCATGAAAAATTATGAATACAGGGGCAGAATTAAGCAAAAAACAAAATAAAAAGAGAGAGAACCCATGGACATGAACAATAGTGTGGTGACTGCAGAGGGGGGAGGAGAAAGGGGTTGAGGTGGAAGAGGGCATAGAGAGGATAAATGGTGATGGTGAAAAATAAAATTAAATTAAAAAAAAAGAAAAAGAAAAGACAAAAGTATGAATACAAAAGGTCTTGGCCACACCAATACCATCCAACATGAAAACTTATGCCCACTGACCATGTAGTGCTGTGAATCATAATGAACCATAATGATCTGAATCGAATGCAGTTAAAAAATCTTAATTTTAAAAATTTTATAGAAATATGTGAACACAGGGCTAGGGCTGCCCTAAGACCTTAGAGGGGTGTGGGCAAGGGAGGGACCCTGAAGGTTCATTAGCTTCATTATAAATCCGCCTGACTGTGGGGTGTAGAGAATCAGTGCCTTATTTTTATTATTAAAAATAAAACAACAGATACTACAATGTTTGAAAATTTCAAAACTTCCCCAAACACATCATATTTCCTTTATTTCTCTCCCACCTGTCCTACTTGAATTGGCATGCAAACTTGTTTATTCTGACTAAGCGATGGGAATTCTGACTTATTTGAACTGGTGTGTGTGTGTGTGTGTGTGTGTGCTGTTTGAAAAAAAAAGTACTGGTATGCTATGTGGGTGCATACCAGTGCTATATACAAGTTCAAGAGATGTTTCTTCTGTTCAAGTAGATTCCTATCTAATTGGGTGGAGAAGACTAACACATGAAATAGCAACAAAGACACGCAATAGATAGAACAGCATAGAATTAATTATGGGCATTTTAAAAATCAGTAAGTGCTACCCGACTTTAGACAAGACGGACATCAGTAAAGGTTGACATTGTTCCAAATGCTACAAAAGCAAGATGACTGCTTTTGGACGAAGGGATCATGCTACATTTGTTGACGAACAGGAGCAAACTGGAGGAGAAGCAAAGACCCTGCTTTAGTGGAACCTGAGAAGGCAACATGACTAAGAAGAGTGTCGCTAGATCACAGGATCTTCACAAGCAGGCAGAGGGGTTTTGATTTTATGTGTCTGGAAACTGCATGACATTGAGCAAAAACAGCGACAGAGTGAAGATGGCAGTGGCGTACACGATGGATGGAAGTGGCAAGTGTGAGAGTTCTAGGGACATGCTTAAGAGGCCCTGATTTAACCTAGGTGAGAGTAATGACAGCCTGTGGGGTAGTGGTGGATGTCTAGAGAGGAAGAGCCGGACACAGAGAGAAGTTAACCTTGGAATTGTTGATTTTCATCTGATGTTGCAAGCCCTCCAAATTTACGTGTCCAATAGACAGTTGGAGATACAGGATTAGAGTTTAAAGGTGAAGAGAGGACAGAAAAAGGTAGATACACAGATGATAGATACTAGTAGATAGATAGATAGATGAAAAAGACTCAACTGATGCTGAATGCATACAAGTATAACTATCATATCACTTATATACAGGGTGTCTCAAAAAATGTATGTACACTTTAACAGCTGATAGCTCAATTTTGAAAATAAAATGTATTTTAATAAACACTGCCTTTATAATTATTCAAAGTGTATGTACCCATTTTTTGGGACACTATAAATGGTAGTTTGAGTTTTTGGAATTATTAAAATAGAGGTAAGAATACAATCTGGAAATAATTTATGAATAAAACAATACGTGTGATATACAAAAGAGGGGGTACTCCTTCAATCAGCTTCTGAATGTTTGATTCAGAAAAAAAATGTGAGGTAGATGTTTTGCCTCAATCTCTTGATACCTATTTTTTCTTTTAGTTGGTCCAATAGAAAACGTACTTGTATAATATAATATACAGTATTCACATATGTAGAGCTTCATTTAGAAATATGTATGTATGCATTTTGGTTTTGGCCTCAAAGATGAACTTTTATACTAAAGGGAGACAGAGACAATAAACAAACATCTATAACATTCTGGGGTAAATGAACTGTACTTGGTTAATAGGAGAATGTGATTTTTAAAAATGTGATTTTAATTCAGCCAAGGTGACATGTTAGCAGAGCCCTGAGTGAAGTGAGGGAGAGAGTCATGCGACAACTGGAAAAAGAGTTTTCAGGATGAGGGGACAGCAGTTTCCCGGGAACAGAGAGGCCAGAGTGCATGGCATGGAGTGAACTGGGGAGAACAGAAGACGAAGCAGGAGAGGTAGGCAGGCCCCAGGTCAGGTAAGGACGTCTTGGCTATAGAAGGGATTTTATTCTAAGTGTGAGGGAAAGATATTGAAGGCTTTGGAGTTGAGGAGTGACAGGACATGATTTATGTTTAAAAACGTCACTCCGGTTGCCAAGTTTGGAATAAATTACAGGAGGGGGGCGGGGTGGAAGTAGGGAGGCCGGTTGCGAGAATCCAGGTTTGAGATGATGGTGGCTTGGGCCAGGGTGGTAGCAGTGAGGGTGGTGACAAGCGGTTGGGTTCTAGATGAATTTTGCAGGTAGAGCGGATATAATTGGCTGGTGGAAGGAATGTGGAGAATGAAAGAAGAGAGGAGCTAAAGATAACTGTCATGAACTGAGATGAAAAGACAGGTTTTGTGGGAAAGTGAAGGAGCTCAAATTTGGACACGTTAAGTGATGTTTGGCAAGTTATTTAACCTCTGTGGACATCTTTCATTTGTAAAACACGGATAACAGAATCTACTTCATAGGGTCAGATGAGGAGTAAATAATGCAACAAAAGCTGTAGCAGAGGCTGGCACTGAATGTTAGGTGTCTACCTAAAATGAAATATGAGGAAGTTGAGGAAAAACTTCAATCTTACATTCTTTCTGAGTCTTAAAAAAAAAAAGGCTTAAAAAACCCTTGCTACAATTTCTTCCACAAACCCTCTTTGAGATATGGGTGTTACTGGTGCTGTGGGAGAGAATGTTAGTTCTAAATGTAAATTTTGTCATGTGTGCTAAATGTAATAATTTTGACAGTGATTATGATTGAATAAGTAAATTAGGAATAGTAATGATGGTTATTAGAGAGAAGTTCTAATTGAAGTAAGGAGACTTCAAAGAAGAGATGGGGGTTTATATTTTGGAGAAAAGAGAAGAGACTTAAAGAATTGCTTGAAGGGCACATATTTCATGAGAAATGATAACAAGCATTAACATCAGGAGGGAAATTGACAAACCAGTGATTATGAAGAAAACCACCACATGTTTTACAAAGTATGGCTTGTGTCCCTTCTGGACTTTACGTTCTGAAGAAATGGTTTGTGGTCAACTTGGTAAAATAAAAAGAGGTCATTTAACTAAGAAAATTGAAAATTTGTTAATATTTCCAGACAATTATGAGGAGCTGATTGTGTCCCCATTTTACTTTTTTATAAATATATTTTTTAATTTATTTCAGGGAGGAAAGGAGAGGAAGAGAGAGAAACATCAACGATGAGAGAGAATCATTGATTGGCTGCCTCCTGGACGCCCCACTGGGGATCGAGCCTGCAACCCGGGCATGTGCCCTGGCCGGGAATCAAACTGTGACCTCCTGGTTCACAGGTCGACATTCAACCACCGAGCCACACCGACAGGGCTGTGCCCCCATTTTAAAAATGACCTCTGAGATCTTTACAACACAAAGCAGTGCATGGCTCCCAGCTTATCAATATGATAAGGAAGATTCCTAGGTAGATGGGTGAATACAAGCCCGGAGGCCATCACGTCCACACTCTGCAACCTGAGCTTCAAAACTGAGTGACCATCAATAGCTGAGTATCTCTCTGAGAAAAGGTCAAGTAAGGATGCTGTTTTTAAACATGCACATCATTCTAAAGCATGATGTTTTGCTTGCAAGAGACATTTTAAACAAAAGTGTTGCTACTTACTCATATAATGAAGTAAAATAAAAGTAAAATTTATGCTTATTTTTCAAATTAACATTTTCTACGCTTGAAGATAATTATTTGCTGCTTAAGGAAAGAGTTGCTTTTCAATGGCACTCAAATAGTTGGTCCTTACGCTAGGCTTTCACACTTGGTTCCAGGGAACCTTTGGTTTTACTGGAAACTTTCACATATTTTTTGGTGGGGAAGAGGCATTATGTTAGGTGCTCTTGTAAGCATTTCTTAATACAGGCTATTGTGAAGATGTTAGCTCTGAATCACACACTTTTTGCTTCCTCTAATTTTCAGATACTCTCCTTCCATATTCTATTCTCATCCCTACCTCAGCTGTATTCGGACCCAAATATAGGCTGAAATTGGGCATACATCAACTTGATGTTTATCATTACCTTTAAATGGATACTTAATTATATTTTAGCTTGACCTATACAAAAAACCACACTAAAATTAGGGAAATATTATTTATTATTTATAGCCTTCATTCCAAACCTTACTCATCTAATCTTTGGTTAATTCTATTACTAATTAAAAAACTTTTTATGATATATTTATATATGAGATATATTATACAAATTTATGTGTATTTATATAAGTATATATATAGATGAATATATTTATATGACTATACATATATATATAAATTTGACTTTAATATCTATATAATTTACATTTCTATGGTTTTTAAAGTAAATATTCTGTGACTTTTATGGCATTTGAAAACTTCTCTTTTCTATCATGGGCATTCCTTTATTAGTATACCATTGGCACGACTGTAATTCATGTTGAACAATGTGGCTATATAAGATGTACATATCTTAGACTATGAAATTCCATCCTTGGATGAATTATTCTATCATAGAGAAATTGCTACACATATGTACATGGAGGTATAGACAACAGTATTCCTAACAGCAAGTGCGTGTGGTAATAAGACATAATTGGAAACATTCTAAATGCCTCTCAATAGGAGAATGAATAATAAATTGTGGCATATTTATATAACTGCAGT